TGATGGTTGTGGTGGTGGTTGTGATGTAGGTGGTGGTGATGATGGTTGTGGTGGTGGTTGTGATGTAGGTGGTGGTGATGATGGTTGTGGTGGTCGTGGTCGTGGTGATGGTCGTTGTGGTGATGATGGAGGTGGTGGTGATGATGGTGGTGATGGTGGTGGTTGTGGTGTTGGTGGACGATGCAGTGTTTTTCTGTCAATGCAGTATAACAGTATAAGTGCTATTTCTTATTTTTCAGTAAACTTGTAGATCCTCACGTGACAGCATTTGAGCCAGTTTCAAATGGAAACTTAGTGGAAGGTCTAGAATTTCATAAATTCTACTTTGATAATTGTAAGTGCATATTAKAAGCAAAGATCTAGCGAGTGCTAAATTACTTTGGAACCACCTTAAAACCGACTGAATCATCTTAACACGTCGGAACCACCTTAAACCAAGACCGCATTGGTGTCTTAATATCGCAATTTTGATTCCTGGTAATGGTACTTTAATATTCTTTTCAATATTTCAGTGCTAAGCAAAAGATCAGCTCCTATCAATACCACCATCTTATCTCCCCATGTTCATCTACTTAGCGAGGAGTCAGCGTGTATCTGTTATATGAGACTCACACAGACAATCAACAGGTAACACTTTATCAATGATGATCAGGGGTGGATCTAGACATTTGTCAAGGGCTCCACCACAGGCTTCCCAATCCTCCTTACATTAGATATCAATATTTTGGTAGATATCCCTTCGTAAAAGAAAAATTATACAACACGCTTTGTATGAAGCTTGTGTCTTGAGCACGACGTCGAAGCCTCGGCAACGACGCTATTTGAAGTTTTTTAATAACTCTGATGGTGTCCGGGAGCAGACATTCGCTTGATGCGTCACTGATGATAATGCAGATAATACAAGTTGATATGACGAAATTGATGGTGGAAACTAGCGGTAAACTAGTGTGAGCTGCGTCGGTGTTTCTAAAGAAACAGTTGTGAAAAATGAAAAAAAAAATGACGGCAATAATAGTAATGATTAATTTCGTAAGGTTTTAACGAATAAAATGTTTTTCATCCATAGCAGTGGTGTCCCTGAGACAACTCAAAAAGAGGAGACGAGAGTATGGCAGAAGAGAGGGTCAACATGGGTTAATGTTCACTTGCATATCTCTCAAGCAACAAGAAGTGTCACAAGTTAAGGTGACAATCATTCAAAAGTAGAAATTTTATTGGAGAATTTCACACCATCGTGAAAATGCTGTTATTATTTGATGTCCTAACGAACAAACAGCCAACACGTGACATGACGTCTACAAGTTAAAGTGGTTGTGCACGGCCTCCATTGTTGTCATGGTAACACAAGAATATATTATAAGCACGTGTAGTCAAGTGTTGATGAGTGACTGGATTCCTTAGATGTACATACTTAATTAATTCAATTCAAGATTGACAGCTATGTATCAATGTCATTGTATTAGTTATATAAATATTGTTTCCATCTTATTTAAAACGGTGGTACATTTTATTTTAGGATATTTCAATGTAAATCATCTTTTTAAACATCCATCATGGATCTTAACTTTATTTACAATCATCAAAGTCACGTGAKTTTGTCACGTGGTATCACGATAGGCGTGGCCAACACGTGGTATATTTGAATATTTCATTGTAAATCATCTTTTTTAAACATCCATCATGGATCTTAACTTTATTTACAATCACTGAAGTCACGTGAGGATATATCATGATAGGCGTGGTCAACACGTGGTGTCACGTGAAAGCGTTGTGTGACTATATATGTAACATTGGAAAACTATTCTATAAGGTATATCAAGTCTTAAAGTGCACATCAAGTGGTATCGCCTGTTAAACAGGCTGTGAATGTATATGATTTCTTACATTTCACTACACCATATTCGGCGGTATTTATATCAGCTTGTCTTAAGTTAAATGTACGGGTATACTATCTGCGACGATGGCAGTTGGATGGTAGCAGACTGCAGAGAGAGTTGTGGTTTTAAAAAAGCCTAGGTGTCCTCGCTCTTGTCGCGTACATAGCCATGCTAAAGTCCCTATTAGATAGCCGATTTGCGAATTTTGCTCCAGTTGTCAATCACAAAAGAATCAAGACGAGTCGCCGTGCGTAAAGCTTATTCAATCGTGAAAAATTATTGTCTTTCCACGAATGACTGAGGTTAATGCACGGCGCCTCTTCTTGATCCCTTTGTGTGCGACTACTGAGGCAAAATTCGCAAGTCGGCTATTCACTTGACAGTTACTATGTAAAACGGATAGAATTATAAAAGTCGTCTTTTTGCTGTCCTCCAGCAGTATTTTGACATTCTAAAGCCAAGCCCACGGCACCAGSCTTCACTATATGCTACAAAGCCATAAACTAAAACAATTTTTTTCGACTTTCTCCACCTCAAGGAATATTTGAGGCATCGCAGGAAGGAACTTTCGCTAACTTTAAGATACTACTATGACGTCACACGACGTATCACGACACGTGACTAACCTCCAAGGACTAGAGTTGTAGAATATAAAATGAGATATTTAATGACCACTCAAGGTCTACTAATTATCATTTACTAACTTAGCAATTATAGAATTTCTTTTCTCATAAATACAAGTGATAAAATTATTTGTTTTTGATATTCCATGAAATGAAATGGTCTAGTTAGTCAAATGTATTTTCAATCGTAATCTAATACTCAAAATTGAATATAACTTTACCATATATGGCGTATACACGAAACGACTCATTATAACGAGGCAATATTATTGTAACCTTGGATACATCTAGGACTGACATAACGTATCCATGGTAACGTTTAAGATGTTTATCTCGCGCTTGAATAGGTTAGCAGAGCAGTGCTTTATGTGTCATGTGCATAATGCGCATGTGTAAAATAGGAGTACAGCTGTGCATAACATGAGCCTCGAAGAATGCGTCATTTTGTGAAGTTTTGAATTCATCTATTTAATAATATTCTAAAATGCTATATCTTCAAGTCAATTGAATTCTTCTGTAACAATCAAATAATTATTAGTAGCTAATAAATTACTGTTACAAGCACGTAATGTCCTCTGGTTGTTAAACATACAATGATTTTTGTTGTCCGGGTAATGCTGAATTACATGGAAAACTAAGCTCCCCACAAGATGTCATTAAACCCGGTAAATAAAATTCGTTAAGATTTATCRATGGTGCGGTAAATATAGTGATTTTATACAAAAGCCATCCACTGGTCCATTTCGCTCAACTGGTGGTTCTAGACGATGTAAGCTGCACTTGGGACCAGGTTCTCTAGCCAGCATTGTGTCATGATTCTTCTGCGAACTATCATCAATCCATGGCTTTAGTGTTTCTAAATGTTTCCTTGACTTCTTTTCGCTATCTAGTGACTGTCGCTGTGGTAGACTTGGTRTTTTGATTCGAGACGTTGAGAACCTGGAGGGATAAGCCCAATGATTCATGGGAATGCCTTCTATCCATGAACCCTCTGGGATCCCTGTGGGACTTGAGACATAACTTGCTACGCTCTTACTGCATCTTGTGTTCTGGAATTTACCAAATTTAAAAGAAATTTCACCTTTTGTTTTGAGGCCTTTTAAGCTCGAGCGAATTCCACTTTCCTTTGAGTGCAAGCGCTCCCTTTGACTTTCCAGAATTATAGATCTCGCATATYTATAAGCATCAATCCATGATGGCTTGTCATCCTCGTCTGAACAACAATCATCTTGTGGAGGTAGAAGGCTTAATAAAGGGGTACGATAAGCTAGGGGCTTGATGAAGAACCTTGCTAACGGTTCTTTGTCTTTGTGAGTTCGTCGTCTCGAGAGGATTTCGCTCTTGCTGTTGTTTTGACATTGGTAATCTTGACAGACGCGAATCGCCATCTTCTATACCTCGAGTATGTGGAATCTTTTTGTTTTCGGTTGAAAAGTCAAAAACAATAGCTGGAAAAAGCGAGCAGGTTGCGTTTAAAAAAATCTTCATTTAAAATAGCTAAACTGACTTCAAGATCGACGCAAATTATCTCCGTATTTTTACCTTTTATCGTTTTCCCGCCACTGGTGCGTCTTCTTTCTTCGACTTTTTAATAAACACGATTAATATTCAAAATAGTTGAACTTTCAATACTCGATATCGAAAAGTAAACAAACTAATATTTACGATGGTTTGTGGAGTTTATGTATTCAGTTGCATATCGATTTTCATTATTTATCAAGAACATCGCTTAACAATCGATCTCCATGGCAATCGCTTTACTAAGCAACTCATTATACAACTCTGTCCACCTGCGAACTTCAACGACAGATAAACATTAAAAATAAAGTGAGTGACGTAAGACCTTCTTCAACACACCGGAAATTTAATATCCTCAATTTATTTTTTGAGGAGAAAATTAATGGTCGCGTCCATTTTCGCTAGTTCAGAATTACAAAAATTAACATACTTCACAAAATTTCTCGCATCGTTTGAACTTCCTAACCATTCACTGTCAAGGTGTAATAGTGTCATGGAGTGGTTTTCATAAACCTGTAAACAATATAGTACACTTTATTGTCCTTTTTTGTATATTTTTTTTTGTTTGAGGAAAATAAAACTCAACAACAGCTATATCTATTGAGTCAATAGTTCAAATATTGTATACCCTCCTGGAAAAGTGTTGTAAATTTGGTTCAATTTGTAACCTGCTTGAGTCCCAGCCTCTTGGATGGTATCAGTTGTCTCTTTTAATGCTGGCAAGGAAGTACCACAAGCACTTAACATGTGAATACTCCAGAATCCATTCTGTCGGCCATTCAAGCCAATATTGTGATTTGAATCCCCAGGATTAGGAGAACATACCTCTATTATCAGCAATCTGCCACTACCTCTAAAAAGGCTCTTGCAATTTTTCAATATTAACACCTTATCTTCATATACAAAGCAACATATGAAACTTTTCATCGTTACCGTGTCGGCGTGGAGATCAAGGCTGCAGAAAGGCTTCATTATRTCTTGTTTTATAAAGGAAATGCGATTGCTATTGAGCCCTAGATCATTCACACTCTTCTCAGCCTCTTCAATGACAGCTGGTAAATCCATGACGAATCCTTGGATGTGTTCACAACCTGGTCGTTTCATGACGGATGCAATAAAGTGACCTGTGCTGCTACCAACATCAACAAGCTTTGTACAACTTGACCATGAATAGACTTCGTAAACATTATTGACATGGTCTTGTAGAAGGGTCAGGTTTGAACTGCAAGCCATGGCATCGATGTAGTTTTGTGCAAGCTCCCTTCTACGTTCGTTGCTACCGATTAAATGCTGTGAGGAACCCCTTACCATATTGGATTCGCTGTATGGGTGGGTTGTCATATCGTTCATATAGTTGTAGTGTGACATTCCGTGCTGAAGTACAAAAGCAGGTTTACCATGTCTGACACACTCAGGTAACATTCCCAATGCAAAGAAATGCTCATCGCTTCCATAATAGTGAACCAAATGGCCAAGACTTGGTCCTTTGTCTCGTCGTAACAGTTCCATACCTTGGTTCTTGGCAAA